TACAAAAAAATCAGTCTACATTATGATGTTTTATTCACTCTGAGATATCATTGATTATAAGACACATTTATTTTACATATTGCTCAGAAAAAGAAAACACAAAATTTTGATATGACATTTTCTTAGAATTGTATACTTATGGAAATAGCCTTTTAAACATAGGTATTTTATGATCAAGTACATTTTTGCATTAATATAAAGGTACAGAGAGGTTAGTTAATTAAGTTACTCTTGAAGCATCTTCACATTTTGAGTCTGCTTCTACTTTGTTACTTCTGACTCACAGTTGCAAATCTTTGCTTGCTGTCCTGTCTTCTCTGGCCATCAGGCACTGGTGGCGCAGTATTTCTCAATTTCTGTGCCTTTGCCTTTGAATGTTAGTCCACCCAGCCGCCCCATTCAGTAAGTGCTGTTACCCTTAAAGATGCGTCAATGGAAGGTTTATCAGCAACCATCAAAATCATATTCCTTTATCAACAAACAGTGTTTTGAATAATCAACTGGGTGAAACATCAAAAGGGAAATGACAGCCCAAGCACGTGTTTGCACATGGATAGGCAATGATACCATGTCATGACTACCACCAGGCTGACACTATTGTAGAAGGCCAACCACTACCGCAAGGTGTACCCCAATTTCAAAGGTGTTAAAGTGTGAGAAGCAAATGAGACTCTGAGAGATTAACGGTGGCCAACAGTAAACTTAAGGAAAACATCAATAATGGCTCAGTGATCAAAATCATTTTTTGGAATAAAAGGCATAGACCAACAATAAGATATGGCAGACATCAACTACAGATATCAAAACCAAACAAACAAACATGGAGTCCAAGCTAATTTTTAAAAACTGTAAAAGTAATAAACTACTTCTGTTAAAAATACAGTTATGGCTGGGGATTTAGCCCAGCAGTATAAGCACCTGCCTGGCAACTCCTGAGCTCAATCCTTGGTACCAAAAAAAAAAAAAAATACAGTCATAATCTAGGCATGGTGGCACACATCTACAGTCCCAACTACTCAGGAGGCCAAGGAAAGAAGATCCCTTGAGGTTAGCAGGATTTTTAAAAATACTTTTAAAATTTTATTATATTAATTGTTATTAATATTATTAGTGCACGATTGTAGTATACAATGGTTACATTTACTGTAGGGAGTTTGCACAAGTACATACCACAGCTTAATGCTTTTGTCCCCATCCACCCATCCTTCCCTGTTCCTCACAACACTTGTTCTCTTCCCATTCAGAGAAGCTGTTTCTATATTTTTACTGGACTCAGCAGTTTGTGATGAGCCTTAACCTCAAAAACAAACAATAACAAAAAATGCAGTCATAATCCAGGTAGAGTGGTACGACCTGAATTTCAGCGCTCTGGAGGGCTTAGAGCCCAACATGGAATTATGGGTCACATGGTAGTTCTAGTTTTAACTTGTGCAATAACCTCTGCACTGTTTTCCATAGCAAACGCATCTTTTCTGTTCCTCCACGCAGTGCACCAGGGACACAGTTCCTCCGTATCCTTACCAGCACTTATTTTTCTTAATACAATAACCATTCTAACAGGCATGAGTTATGTATCATTGCAGCTTTGATTTGAATATTTCTGATTATTAATAAGTGTTACACGTATTTAAAACATCTGTTGGCCATTTGTGTGCCTTTTTTAATAGAGAAATATCTGTTCAAAAGTCCTTTGTCCAGGAAAGAAGAGAAAATGAGAAAAACGTATTTATACACAGGATAATTAGGGTAGTTACACAGTTAGTTTCTCCTAGATCATTGAAAAGAAAAGTGTGTGATAATATTGTTTGGGCAATATATCATGCCTATTCTGAATAACTACTTCAAAGAAAATAATATACAATGAATTAAGAACTCTCTTAATAACCTGTTTTGAGACTTTTATTTACATATTTTTTCTCTTTAAAATAAAAAATAAAATTTATATATTTTTTCCCTTTGTCCATTTTTAATTCATTTATTTGGGACTTTTTGGTACTGAGTTGTGACTTTCTTGTGTACTTTGAATAGTAACTTGTTACCAGGTATTTGATTTGCAAATATTGCCTCTAATTCAGTAGATTTCCTTCTTACTTTTGTATCCTTTGCTGTCCAGAAAATTTTTACTTTGATTGTAATTCCACTGGTCTATCTTTGCTTTTGTTCTTTATACTTTTGATTTCAGTTTCAAGAAATATTGCTTAAACAAATGTCCTAAAAAATATCCCCATTGTTTTCATCTAGCAGTTTTATAGTTTCAGATCTGATGTTAACACTCTAGTCTCTTCTGCTCTCTCATGTTCATCATAGTATTAAGCACAATAGTCATGTAATGGAAACAACCTCAATCCCCACCAATGGGTAAAGAGATAAAGAGAATGATAGTTACAGACAGTATAATTTTATTAAGCCTAAAAATGAAGATAATCTTTCCATTCGAGGATAACATGGTTGATCCTGGAGAATACTGTGCTAAGTGGAATAGGGCAATCACAGAAGGACAAATACTATACAATTTCACTTAAACGTGAAGTATGTACACCAGCCAAATTGATAGAAACTGAGAATAGAATGTTAGTTCCTAGAGGGGAAGAGAAACAATGAGCTGTCCTTTGGAGCCACTGGAATGTTCTGAAAATCTGCAGGTTTCCCTGCACTTAATATTATACTGTGTACCTAAAAACTCGTTGTGTAGATAGATCTCATACGGAATGTTCTCACCACAATTGAAAAATTGTAGCATATATCCCAAGGAGTACTAAGCCAAAATGTCATACATTATGAGCATTTATTAGAAAAACAAAAAGCAAGGAAAATAAATACCATAAAAAGGTTAAATTGCTAATTGCAGAAAAAGGAATGGTTACACATTGTCAAAAGTATCCAGGTTCCTCTGCAGCTCTGCATATTGGAGGCTATCTACCTCAGCTGATTCCAGAGTATCTAATTTTCTGCCCATTAACCCAGTGTAACTATTGAGAGAGCCCTTGTAATCCACTAAGTATCCCAGGCACCCACAGTAGTAGGGAAATCACAAGCACCAGGAAGGCAGAAGTGAAACGGAACCATGAGAAATGAAAAACTCAGGTACCCTTGTGCTATCACAAATACAAATGTCATCTCTGACACCAATACTGTCACTCAACTGCTGAACACTAGAAGGTGCCAGGATGAGATGAAAAGGGTGGGCCATTCCGGGGGGGCCCTGCAAACCATAAGTGTCCTTTAGCAAACAATAATCCCACATCTTTCCCCAAAGCTTGGAGACAAGTAAAACTATGATGAAAAGTAAAACATCACAATAAGACCACAATAAGACCACAATAAGACCATGCAGATACTTTAGGAATCACCATGTTGCAAAGAATGAAGTTTCAATTGATTTTTTGCAAGAAAAAAGCATTATACTTAATAAGATAGGAAAAAGGACAAGCTTTCAAAATAAATATGGTCTGAAGTAAGAGCCATATTGCCACCAGATGGCTTGGTACTCAGTGGTTCAGGGCTTTCGCTATCCTGTCCAATGAATTGATCAGGAGAGTTGATAAATGTGAAAGTATAATTGTATTTAAAATAAAAGAAAAAGGGAAAGTGAAGAAAAAAAGAAGTGCAAGAAGAAAGCTACCTTGCATTGTAGATGGGCCACTGTAGAAGCAGGAAGACAGCAGTGGCTCTGAAGTTAACCACTGCTGCCTTTTGTGTATTTTAAGACCCAGTCCATCTGAAGTTGCTCTGTATATCTTGATAGCTTCCTGTGACTGAAAGGTTACATTCTGCTGTTTAGCCTCCATTTCAGTTCTTTGTAATTGACAGCTGACATCTTGCTTTCCAGCCAGCCTGTCATGTGATAAACTTCTGCCTCGGAATCAGCTTCCTGTTTTTGATTTTATACGAAGAGTCCACAGGAGGTTTATCAGAATGAGGCAGAGGAGTTTTCAGCTGGCCATGCATGTCCATTGCACAGTAAAACATAGAGAATAGTTTCTATCAACATTGCGCTCTCTGTCCCACCCATCCCTGTATTTTGGCTTGAGAGAACCTGGCAAAAGAAGATACACCCTCCCCACAATCTCCCTGGTTCCTTTTAAGGATAAGAGATGTCATGTGAGCCTCCTTGACAAACTATAGCGCTCTTTTTACTGCAAGAAATCAATATGATGACCATGATATTCCATTAAAGTCATTCCATTCACAACAGGGAAACTGAAATGAAAAAAAAAAATTATTCCTCAAATGTATCTCTGTCTAAGATCCAGTAGCCATGCTTGGATGAAGGCTTCATAAACATCAGCAGTTCTTCATCCAAACCACCATGAGGATACAATCCAGGAAGAGCTCACCTTTCTTTCTTGGTGTCTCTTTTTTCTTGTAACTTCTGTATTTGCTTCTTCTAGTCAGGATCCAAAGAGTCTTTATTTAACACCACAGAGCAAAGTATCTGAAAATTCAGAGACCTGGACTTAACAGACTCACTTCCCAGTTCTTAATTGATGTATTACTAGTTAACTATTTAAATAGAATTTTCTTATTGTTTGTGGAATGGATCAATAGTTTAGCTATGTGGCCATGCCAAAGACCCTCAGTTTTCCATGGCTGTTTTTTATGCACCCTGGACTAACACTTAAGTCACTTCTAGATATATTGGGCCAGGAATATAGTTCAGAAGTGTAAGTGCCTGCCTAGCATTTGCAAGGTCCTGAGCTGATTTCCTGTACCAAAAATATAGATGATAGATAGACAGAGATGTAGCTATTTTGAGAGGCAGCAAGATACCTTTGGGCAGAAAGCCCAACAATTTTTCCCTTCCCCTTACATAAAGTTTAAGATTCTTTCACTTATTCTCCATTTAACTTGATTTCTAGTTCTGAAAATTAAACACAATTGTAGAAATTCTGCCTCCCCTTGTTATGACAATGATTATGTCCAAAACCCTTTGGAAGCTAGAATTGATAAAGTCAAGACAATATTCTCCACATGGGAAGCAACCCCTGAGTCAACTGACCTCAGCTCATTGTAGTCAGCACAAACTCAGTGACATGGGTCTTCCCCACTTCTTGGGTCATAAAGACTGGAGATTCTCCTGTGGAGCCAGTGCCAATGAACCAACCAGGGAAAGCCGCAGACTCGAAAGTAGAGGTGTTGCCAGCTTGGTTGTGGTAAAAGAGAAAGGGCTTCTCAGGCTGTGGATGGTGGTAAAGATTGTCTATGGTCCTTTTCTGAAGAAAAAGAAGGAAAACCCAGGGAAAAATATAACCATGAGCATTGTTCAGCATTCCTTGCACTTTGTTTAAGACTGTATTCCCCATCCTCAGAGCAGGCGTGGACACCTCCATTTCATAGTGTGCCATCAAGAATGAAACACCCCAAATGCTGCTGCATGTGGTAACAGTATGGTGAGAAGCTTAAGACACAAATCTTAGCGATCCTTAACATGAGGAAGAAGATGTTGTTGACATACAAGTTTTTGAGAACATGAAGTACCACTTGTGTCATTATGGATTTACTGATAAACGGAGATTCCCAAAGAATATTGAGTTTTGAATGAAAAAAATAATTATTTTATGTTGAGTTTCACCTTAGCACCAGTGACATTTTGGGCAAGATAATTCTTTGTTGTCAGGGTGTTTGCTGTGCCTTACAGACTGCTTAACAGCATTCCTGACTCTACCCTTTTGATAAAAGTAGCATACCTCATCCCTAGTGTAACAGCCACAAATAAAGGGATTTTGACAAATGTCCAGGGAGCAAAGTCATCCCTAGTTGAAAACCGTTGTTTCATACTGTATCTTCATACTGTCTGCCTATGCATATTTGTTGAAAAAGTAAATACAATCAAAGGCTTTGTTTTAATTGTCTTGGTGTGATATATAGTATTTAAGTTCTTTTATAATGGAAAATCACAACTATTACAGTATTTGTTGCTGAGATTTATCATTGTTCATTTAAAACTGCAAACTATGCTTGCCCAATAGACATTTTAATAAACTCATCCACGGCTTTAGTTGTCTTTGTTGTTTTGGTTTTACCTTGTGTGTATGTGCATGAGTGTGTGTGTGTGTGTGTGTGTGTGTGTGTGTGCGCGCGCCCGTTCTATTGAAGCTAAGGATAAATATAAAAGCTTTTCCCTTGGCCAAATCATCTTTGTAAAATGAAATAAAAAATGACTTCAGGAAAAAATTTCAAAATGCCCTCTACCTTTTTCTTATTCACAGTACAGGGAATCCAAAGATATCAAAAAAATAAATATGCTTAACGCTAATGAACAGACTGTCTTTTAAAAGATTCTACAGTCAGACTTTCCACCAAATGGCACCTTGTAAACAAAGAGACTCCTCTTTTCCAGTCAGGCATGAGAAGAACCTTTTTCTCCATACTCACATTAAGCTGCAGCTCAGGCTGCTCCCCAACTTTTGTGCAGAACAAGCTACTTTGCAGCTCCTTCAGTCCCAGGTACATGGGATTCCCTCTGTCCTTCTCAAGGGTCTCCAGATGTTGGCAGGGATACAGATCAACAGTGACTACCAACATAATGCAGAAAGTGGCTTTCAGATTGTGTTTCAACATGGCATCTCCAAACCAGAGTTTTAAGAGCAACAGAGTAGAATCTGACAGCTGAGGCACCCCACTACTCATCACCTGAGATTCTTTCCATCTTTGGTGAACGCCTTCCATCAGAAAAGTCAGCTTTTTGTGGATCAAAACACCAATATTTCAATAGATCCCATCCTATAGAAGTTTTACTGAAAAAGTCTTTCACCCTTTCCCATATGTAACTCTTTGTTCTCCCTAGAGTCATCTCTTCTTTTCTCTGACTCATTCCCATAGTCACAAGCAATTCTCCAAACACCCTGTATTTACAATTGCCCAGACGATGCTCTTCTCTCTAGAAAGCCCCTGTTAGCACAACTATTGTGAAATGGAAAGCTGACCCCAGGACACACAATGGTACTTCCCAAAGGAACTGCCTTGAACCCTCACCTGGAACCACATTTCTCCTCTTTGGGACCATTGTGAGGGTATGGCCCTGAAGGACCCACACACGATGATCAAGATCCTGAATGTGCCTGTGGAAAGGCATTGCCATGGATAATTCTGTAGAGAAAGTCAAAATAAAAATATGTAAAGACAAATGCACAGAATGCACCCAACCCCTTCTGGTCCTTTGCCCTTCCATGAACATCTTTACCTTTGGACATTATGTTTGGTGTTGTTTCAGAGTTTCCCAGAATTGAAGTCGTTTATGTATAAATTGACCCCAGCAGAGATCTAAGTCACAGACTGACCCTGAGTCCCAAAGACTGGACCCACAGTGACCCCAGTCAGAATCTGCGCTTCCAGCTTCTTGGACTCAATTGGCCCCTCAGCAGCAGCAATTGCACCTCTGACTCCTGTTCAGGCCTAAAACCATAGTCCTTAGAACACAGGGAGCTCTGAATCCAGAGATCCAGAAGCAAGAAAGATGAGAGTTCACTAGGATTCCAGCTATAGGCTGCAACCGGTTTCAGAGGATCCAAGTCCCTGGTGTTAGGGACTATAGCTCCTGCTATACTCAGGCATTCTGACAGGTTCCACTGAAGGCCATCCCTTTTATTCACACAGAGCAGGAAGCAGAGCCTACCTCATTAAGACCCAAACTGCCCTGCATCCTGTGTGACTGCCAGTTCCTGCTGCTAGAGGATTCACTGAGTACTTATATGAATAAATGTCAATTACAGCAAGATGTACTCCATACACCCTCAAAAAGAAGGGCATGCGAAGGCTGCAAGAATAATAACCAGGAAATACACTAGGGATTGCCTTTGAGGAAGGAAACATTACAGGAGTGTCGCAGAGCCAGTGACTGTATTCTGATAATGTAAAATGACACACTGGGATGTCATAGCTAACAGCAGAAGTCTCAAGCAAGGTTGACTGATGGGGCTAGTCTTTGAGGACCGATGTAGCTTCAAACTACTCTTTGTCCACAGTCACCATATTCTCTGCTCATTTCAGACCAGGAAAAGGCTGGTCACGGGGACACTCCTGGGTTTCCCAGAGCCACCACACATGCAGGATTGCCATGAAAGATCATCACCCAGAGCAAGGGCAGCTCCTGAATATACTGCCACACTCAGTGAGTAGGCAGTAGGACACCATCTTATTATACAGGAATGGAGCCCATTGCCTGGTTCTCTGAGTTTTCAGTACCTGGCATTAGCATGTCCATGAAGAGAAGGTGAGGCAAGCTGTTGATGCTGTTTCCTGAACCTTTGGGTACCTAAGTTCACAGCCTCTATGCAGATCCCAACATCCTTCAGCTTCTGTCTGCTGGTGGAACAATACTAAGGCTTCTCACAGGGCCCACAGTGGGTCACAGCCTCAGCTTCCCATAAAGATAACTAGAATTCACTTCATTGCTATCCTTAAATCAACTTCTACATAAGATCCCTAAATCCAAACTAAGACAGTAGCTGGGTGTTCTAAAGCAGGAGACTTGTGTACAGTATATATGTGTTTGACATTATGCTTTGCAACTTCTATAAGTTTTTACTCACAGATACTCAAAGTGTGCTCTGTGGGTGATGTACTGACAACTCCAGCAGCTTATCAGAAAAAGAATTTCAGACCCTACCCTAGACTGATAAGAATCAAGATGTGAAACAAAGAAGCATGAAAATGTTTTATGTTCTGCGTGTTTAGCACATATCCATGCTCAGTAATATAGTCACACCAGCATGGAAAGAAAGAGATCAGGGCTCAGGCTATGCCTGGGGCTTAGGAGGTGTCAGCTCATGAGATCTGGAGGCACCAGTGTCTTTCTCTGATCTTTGTGAACCATGGAATGAGCTGTCTTGTCACTAAACAAATAAGGAGAAAATATAACAGAAAGCTTTCCTGTAAATCAGTGGCCTTAGATTGGCCTTCACAAACATTTTCACACCAAAGAACTCACAGAAAGCAAAAAAACAATGCATGATAATCAAAGCATAACCCAAACAGCATAACAGAGAATTAGTATATTAAAAGATCAATGAGAGCAAATCATATTGCAGAGTAGCAAAAAAATAAAAAATATGGAATGTAGAAAAGGTGTGAAGAATTAAGGAAGGAAGTCTGGAACACTGGGTTACAGCAGGAAAAGACAAATAGGACAGAGGCATTATTTAAAGAGAAAATAGTTGGGAACAGCCTCAGACTGATACGGATACCAATCAGATTCAAGAAACACCATAAACCCCCAAGTAATATAAATAAATGAAAAGATACACAAATTCAAACACTTCAGAGTAAAATTTCATAGAACAGAAGATAATTACTAAACATATAAAGTAGCAAATACTAAAAAAAAAAAAAAAGCATTTCCCTCCAAAGAACAAAATGCTGACAGTTGGCTTCTCAACTCTAACAGTAGAAGCCAGAAGGCGGCAGAACTGCATCTCAAGTCCTGGATTTCTACTTCCAGGTTAAAGGTGAATTTACTTGTTCTCAGACACAAATTCAAAGTTCATCATGAGTAGAGGTTCACTTAAAGTAATAATAGAGGATGTGTTTCCAGCAGAGAATTCTTGACACCAGAGAAGTATACATTTTTGGAGAAATAATTCTTGGTCTGTTATTGACCCTATTGGAGGCAGAAAGCTTCCATATGAGGTACTGAATGGCTGACAACTCAGAACTGTCCGTTATTATTTGATTTCTTCAAACAATCAAGTCACAAAGGCAGACATTCCCCTAAAGCTTTTCATCGTGAAGTAAGAATGATACATCCATTATTGAGCCTGGGTTGGACCAGCAGGCATGAGAAGGTGGCCCAGACCCCATATCTCTCATGACAGTTGCACTAGTGTCCTTCCCTTAGTTTGTACCCATAGTTGTACAGTCCTTTGCAACAAGATGAATGAGGAGAGAATAAGCCCAAGATCGGTTTATGGTCACTTCAATGAGGGGAGTAAACCAAAAATTAATGGCAGCTGCACTACAGCCACACTTGGGTCAATTGGTGTGCCTTGAAAGACAAAAAAGTGGAAATTTTCCCATGTACAGATTTATGAATATTGCCACTGATGATTCTCTTTGTGTGGAAATAAAGGTTGCCCAAGGGTAGAACGGATACAAAATCCTGGACTGCACAATAGCCCTGGTGATTCTTCAGAACACTGAAAGCAGATGTGAAGTAAAGGAGTACGAATGGACATACAGGAGTGGACACAGGTGTGAAGTTTGTATGCTGTGTTGATGCCCACCAAAAAGTAACAACCAAAGAGACACTGAAAACCAAGGAGGTAAAATGACTGCTAGTCGGTGTTAGTTTGTTTTGATCCTCCAGCACTCTCGAACTGGAGTGATGGGCAGACGTGACTGGGAACATATTCTAAGACGTGGAAATGGCAGCTGAAGTTATCCTGGGGACCTAGTAGAGTCTATGCACTCAAACCATAAAGGAACCCACTGGTTTTCTTTTGTTACTGTTCCATAAAACAAACAACAAAACTCCTCCCAGTCTTGTTACTTTCTTTCTCCAACTCCGAGGTTCTCATCTGTTGGTAAACTCATACACTGTTTCTTTTCTGAAGTTAATTATCAGGGAGAATTAGAGAGCTGAAGTATGGAGGGAAGTTAATGAGAGCTTGGGGGCTCTGAGTTTTGTTACACCCCCAGTTACTCTTATAGGTACTATTACTCTGCCTGGGCGAGGAAGGGTGGCACCCATCCCGTGTTTCCAGCCTTTGTGTTGATACTGATCAGAGAGGAAATTAAATCATCCCCAAACTACTGGACTGACAAAGGCCCAAATCTTGTCAGTCTCTCCTGTCCTTCCAGCAACACCACAAAATGTGTGCACCCTATAATTACAGGTGCTCCTGTAATTTCTGCTTATGCACTGGGGAAACAGAAAGATGATAGGTGACTCACTGACTTGACGTGACTCGCCAGAGTACAGCCACTTCCCTCTCCTCCCAGCCAGCCATGCAAAGCTGTGCTGAGGAAGGGAAATGGGACAAACATTTTCTTCCACTGGGCCGCACCTTAAAGCTGTGTGCCCTTGGGACTTTGTCATCAGACTCCCTGGAAATGACTTCATTTTAGCCTGTCGTGTCTGTCAGTGATGCATCCATCATGAGCTTCCTAGGCCATCTACTCTAATCCGCAGTTTCTCATTGTATTCTTCTGAGGTTCTGCTGAGTTGCTTTTCTCATATCTTTTTTGTTCTCTGTCTCTCTCTCTCTGTCTCTCTCTGCCTCTCTCTGTCTCTCTCTGTCTCTCTCTCTCTCTCTCGCTCACTCTCTGAGTTACTTAGTTTTGGTATTTTATAATGATTTTAATATCATTTATCTCAGCAAAGTGTTAAGTACATACTTTTAGCTCCAGGGGAAAGACCTGTCACCTTTGCAACGATACCCTCTTAAAATAAGAGCCATCTCAAACTGAAAGATGACACAGGAGCGTTTTAGATATCTTGGATTTTGCAAAATTTGGATCCCCAGCTTATGAATTTTGGATTCATAAGCTAAACTGCTTTTTGAGGCCATATAAGGGCCTGACTATGAATTCCTAGACTGGATGAGAAGACAGCAAGAGGATTTTCAAAAGCTTCCTGCTTCAACTTTAGCAATTCCTGATTTAGATATTCCACTTACTCTCATAGAGCTGAAAAACTGGACATATCACTGGGGTCCTTACTCAAAACGTGGGAAATATTCTTCAATTTGTGATTTTCTTTTCTAAGTGATTAGACTCTGTCACTTGGATGGCTGGGATGCCTACATGTTGTGACTGCCATAGCACCCCTGACTATTAAGGTTATTAAATTAATGTTAGGACATCCACTAGAAGTCTGAATACCCAAGCAGATCCAAAGCATTCTTGGAGTTAAAGAACACCAGTGGCTAACTGGAGCACAGCTACCTAAATATGAAGCCCTCCTATGATAATTTCCAAAAATTACTCTCAAGATCTGCCAGCAAGCTTGCTTCCCATCACAAAAGACCATCTTCTCCCTTCCGTGTTGAAACTATACAACGTGTTTATTCTGGTAGGCCCAATCTCAAAAACAAGACTGGTTAATCTGGTGTGCAATGGTACACTGACATAAATAGTGACGTTCATAGGCCAGGTCATATAACTGTTAGTCTTCAGGAGGCTATTGGGGTGACAGTGTTTCTTTCAAATACCACAAAATAAAAAATTGAAACCATTACCCTCACATGAACTTTACAACTGGGAGAAAAAGCTACTCAACATCCATACTGACTTCAGATATGCTTTCTTATCCCCTCATGCTCATGCAGCCATATGAGGAAAAGGGAGACTCAGAGCAAAAAACAGTTCTCAGTTAAGCCTGGGCCCAGGAATCTTCCCTCCTAAAAGCAATGTCATTACCTGGCCAGGCAGCAAAGAATGTGAAAAGTGCAGTTCTCCTATAACCCAGGAAACTTGGAAGATCACAGCTCAGAACCAAGCAGATGACACAGAAGACTGTTTCACAGATGGCTTTGATACTCCTGACCTCAAACATAAGAGGAAACCTTTCCTATTCAGAGACTGAAAGGGTATGGGCAAAGCAGAAGGGTATAAACTAGCATGATAGTTGGTGGATGAAAGAGAAAAATCATAAAGTTATGTTACCTCAGGATGATCAACAAAAATATAATTAAAGAAATCCATAATGCATGTCATTTAGAAAGGGAAGCACTGACAACATTGGTCCACGATGCTTTGAGGGCTAAAAGCCCTGAATTCACTATCATGAAGTCAGAATGTCTCACCCTCTTTGCTGCTGCAGGAGGAAAGCCTGAACTCCTCTACCTTTGCTAAACGCAGGCAAGGCAGCTTCCTTGGAGAGGAATGGCAACTGGAATTCACCCAGATTTACCTGTACCAGGGATACAAATACCTTTTACATTTTTATGATAACTTCTCTGGGTGAATAGAAACACAACCTATCTAGACTGAAAAGGCTCAGGAACTCACCAAAGCACTATTAAAAGAGATGATTCTTAGGTTTAGACCTCCCAAGTCACTTCAGAATGATAGTGAGTTTTTGTTTCTAGACTGGCACAGGAGGTCTCACAAACTTTGGGAATAACCTTTTTATTTTCAAACTGTTGGAACTCTCAAGCCTGAAGAAATGTTGGAAGGGCTAATTTAAATATTAATGTCACATTGGCAAAATTACATGAAAGACATAAGTCTTGACTTTGACTATTACCTATTGCCTTG